TTTTTTTTTTTTTTTTTTTGGTACCTGGGATTGAACTTGGGTCCTTGCGCTTGCAAGGCAGGCCACCGAACCGCTGAGCTAAATCCCTGGCCCTACTGAGAATTTTTATCAGAACGGTTGTTTGGTTTTTATCAAATGCTTTTATTTATCTATAGAGGTGGTCATATGGTTAATGATTTTGCTGTTTTAAAGTACATTACTTGTGTTTTTTCATAAAATTGATTCCCTTTTGTATCAATCAGATTTTTATCACGATGAAAAATATGTGAGAAAATCAACTTTAAAAAGTAAAGTTTATTCTGGCTCATGGTTCCAGTCCATGGTCAGTCGGTCACATCTTTTCTGGGCCTGTGCTGAGGCAGAACATCTTAGTGGAAGGGTGTGGCAGAGTAACCTGCTTGGTTCATGGCGGCCAAGAGGCAGAGTGAGGTAGAGGAGAAGGAGCTTGGGACGAGATTCACCTTCCAGGGCACCCCGTCAGTGACCTGCCTGCTTCCTCCAACTAGGCCTTCCCTCCTGAAGTTTCTGCTACCACTCAGCAATGGCATCAAATTGTGAGTCTGAGAATCGATTAATCCACTGACAAGGTCAAGGTCCAATGATCCATTCACCTTCTACAGGCCTTACCTATGATCACTGCTGCACTGATGGGGCCAAGCCCCCCACAGATGAGATTTTTGGGGGATTTTCCAGATCCAACCATAATGCCTTACAAGTCATCAAAGATATTCTTTCTAAATGCTAACCGGTGATTTTAATCATCATATATTCTTTCCTCTCCTGATTAGTGAATGAGAGCCATAAGCCCGAATTTATAGAGCTAAAGAAGTGGCTGAAAGATAGGAATTTTGAAGACACAAATTTAACACCTGCTCAATTTCCAGGTAAGAGTGTGGCATTAGGCTCTCCTGATCTCTCTCAGCTGAGGATCGTGTGGGAACCTGGGTGATTCTCACAGTGGGCTGTGTGCTCTCTGCCTTCCTGCCTTGGAGCTGTACCATTTATTTGTACTTCATGTTGGTGTAAAAGTGAATGAAAGTGACTTGTGGAGAGAAATGACGAAATGATGAAATAAAATTGAAAAAGGCAAATGAGAATAGAAACATAAGTTAAAGCCATGAATGTGTATATCACCTGAATGCCACAGTTATAAAATCTGACACAGTTATCAGAGGTGAGGTGCAACTTGAACTCATCTTTCTAGCAGCTTATAGGATGGATAGGATGAGTGACCTTCATCTGAATACTCTGTAAACTAGACTATATTGCAGCTGTGCAGGCATTGCTGGTAGCTGGCCTTGAGGGAATGCCTTTGCTTGTCCTGATAGGAAAGATGTGTGTGTACTGTGGTGAATGGTGTGTTCAACAACATCCCTGTGGTGATTTCATTGTCCAAACTTGTGGGTTGGTGGGATTTTCCCAGAGCCCAGGGCAGTGGGTGAGGATAGTTTCCCAAAATGGACTGAGGTTCCAGAATCAGTTGAGGTGTGCATTCTCCCTTGGGTGGTGATCTCTCTCTGGAGGAGAGGATCCTGGGGAGGCCTCAGCACTCTTGTCCTTGACTGGTTTGCAGCTGTGGCCCCACATGGTGGAGGAGGAGCACCTGAGTGTGGGCCCAGTTCATCCCAGAGCTGTAGGCTCCACAGTCACCTGAGCTGAGGTAGATAAACATTCTCTTCTGAATCCTTTATTATGGAGGTTAGATCACTTTTCAGCCTTTTGGCTAAGATCAAGTGTATTATGGAGGTTAGATCGACATTTTCTTCTAGAACATTCTTTCCCAGAAGCCAGACATCTTGCTGTGTGTGTGCTTGCATACAAGACCACCCTGCACGGTCCATGAGTGGGCTGGAGATGACCACAGAGTGGACCAAGATGCTCTTTGGAAGGACTTGGGCCCCAGTGACACAGAGATAGTTGCGTGATCAGGACCCTGAAGTTCTGCATCCAAGGGGGGCTGCAGATAGTTTAGCTGACAGAAATCACAGCATATTATATGGATGCTCCCTTTGGCCATTGAAGTGATCATTTAGGTGCCCTTGAGGTACCCATTAAAGCAGATTGACTTTCTTTTACAACTCTCAAGATCAGAGGTTTCCCAGGTATGCCCCTAGGTAAGTGTGATGATGTGTGAGAACTTGTTTCCCATAAATGTCACAGGATGACTGTGGGGTAAAATCCTTGATTTGAGCCATGAGCCTAAATGACAGCAGAGTGGCTTGCAAAATGTGGCAGTGAGATATGGGTGAATTCAGGGAAGCAAAGGAAGACAGACAGGGCTTTTACAGGTAAAACAAGGGTTTGGTAAGTTGTTTTGAAGTAGCTATCCTTGGCTATAAGGATTAGTAGTAAGGGTGGCATTGGTCCCAGGCTGAACAGACGATTACTGGGCAGACACCCTCGTGGAACTATTTTTGTTCAGGGTTGTGGCTTTGGCAGAGTATTTTGGGACAGTATTGAGAAATCAAGTGTGAAGCCCCGCCCTTTTTGGCCTTCCCTGGCTTCTTTTGTCTAGGTTCGACACAGGTGACTCCATTTTGGTTCTGAAAACCTTCCCAGAGCCATTTTTAAAATTTTTATTAACTTAGTTATTTTTATTAGGGCCTCTCCTAGTTTATGATCACGGACCATGATTGTCATCTGCAAACAGAATGTGTAACTTTCTGTATGACAGATAATGGTCAGTGAAAGCCACTCTCAGACTGCTGTAGTATGTGGAGTTCTTTGCCTGTTGATCCAGAGAAAATAATGTCAAGAGTCTTACTTTGGATCGTTAGATCTCAACCTTACAATGCCCTTAAGTATTGTAAACCCACAGGCAGTCAGGGCATTTCCAGAATAGCCTCCTGACCCTGTCCTCTCTGGAAGCCTAAGGTTGAGAGACACCAGCTTTATCTTTGTATCATTCTGAACTTCATTCACAGTTTTTATTCTAATTAGGAGCTCTTGGACTTTGTCGTTATAGTCACGTTTATCCTTTTCTTGTCTTGGCTTCCTTAGGTACAGGAAGAGGGCTGATGACCAAGAAATCCCTGAAGGTGAGAATTTCTCCTTTATCCTTGAAACCCAATATATATTTTTTGCTGCTTAATTTTTTGGGTTCAGATGAAATGAATTAAAAGTACTTCAGATATGCAGGAGTTTCTCTTACTTACCAAATGGATGAGTTTGAATAGAATTCTGCCTATAGGATTAAGTTTACTATATAGAAAAGAAGTTTATATTTTTGTCATTTAAATGTATCTGAAAAGAGTCACCCCAGGCTGGTGGACCAGGGCCATGGCCGTTAGAGGCCCAGATGTCTTCCTACTCTGTGTTACACTCTGAGTCTCCTCAAAGCTTTTGGATCCTGGCCAGCAGGAGCCAAGGCGGAGGGAAAGGTCAGGCTTCCTCCCTTCGAGAACATTCCAGCCCTGTGTGATAGGCCAGGGAGAGACCAGGTCTGTGGAGGGGGAGGCACGGTCTCCTTTCCCTGGCATTGTGTCCCCCAACGAGACTCCTCCAGGAGGAGAGAAGGTGTGTTGGGGCAGAGCAGAGGTAGCCTCTGCCACCTCAAGCCAGTTTTAGAAATGAAGTCACATCATCAATGGGACGGGGAAGCTGCTCTCCTCTGAGTCTGTGTGGTGTGGGAAGGGGCACCGGGCGAGCGGGGGAGGAGGTGCTTCCTGCACCTGAGCCATACCTGGTTCCTCACCTGGAAAATGTGGTGTTCAGTGACACACGTGATCTCTAAGGTCCATTTTACTATCTTTTGTGCTGTTTGAATGGATTGTGTAACACACAGTCTCCTGTAAAGCTAGATGCGAACTTGTGTATTTTACAGTTACTTAAATGTATGTATTATTTTATGGAGGCAGTTATCCCGGGGCTGTGGATCATGCGCGCTACTGCTGAACTACATCCCAGCCTTTATACTGATTTTCAATTCCTCAATCTAATTTGTCTTAAATCCAGGTGTATATACTCGTTTTTCTGAAAAAATGCTAGCTATCCATGTTGCAATTCTATTATGCTGTTTTTAAAATTATTTTTAAATTTCCAATTATAAAATGCATACAACTTAAAATTTACCATTTTAAATATCTCTAAGTGTATGTACTCTTCGTAGTGTTAAGTATATTCACATTGTTGTCAAGGTTTTTATTTTCCCTCCCTCCCTGCCTGCCTGCTGGCTGGCCTGCTTTTGCTACATTCCAGCACCCTTTAAAACTTTTCATTGGTTTGAGACAGGGCTTGCTAAGTCACTAAGTTGTCCAAGTTTTTATTCTCTAGGGAAAGTCTACTTTATTCTGAAGCAAAATTTGAGAACAAGACATACACTTCCTATTTACAGTTTCATCTATTTACAGTTTGTCTAGAACAAGAAATGATGACTGGCAGTTGCTTCATGTGTACTTTTAAATGTGGCTTTTTATTAAACTTTTAAAAAAGAGAGACATACTTATTACATGAAATGCAGAGATCTTAAGTGTTTAGTTTGAAACATTTTTTGGTAGAAAGATATATCCCAGTCAAGATACGGGTGCATCAGCAGGTGGTTTTGGTTTTAATCAGAAAGTCAAGAAATGTAGGAGCTGGAAGAGTGATTTAGCCAACTTAATCTTGCTTTACCGATTCAGAAACTGGAAATTGGAGCCTGAAGGTCTTTGGCTAATATCTGTAACCAACTTAGATGGCCGTTAAAATGAAAGGCGAGTCTTAGGTCTCTTTTTCAGGGCTTTGTTTCGCGTCTGTACCTGTGTAACACTGGGGTCTGGTGTCTTCCTTGACTTGCTAAAACTGAAAACCAAACCATACTTTTGCAAGTGGTAGAATTAGATCCCTGCTGTGCTGGGTGGGCTGCCCTTTCTTAAGCTGTAGGGCACAGGTCAGGTGGCGAGGGTTGTGCTGTTATTCAGATTCGACTGGATGGCATCTTTGTTTTTTTTGTTGTTTTGTTTTTGGTAGCACGGATCAAACAGGGGTCCTTGCACTTGCAAGGCAGGCAGTGGAACCACTGAGCTAGATCCCAGGCCCTAGCATCTTTGTTTTTGTTTTGTTTTTTGAAGTCAGGCTGGTATTGCCAAACTCCTGGTCTCAAGTGATCCTCCTGAGTAGCTGAGACCACAGCTGCAAGCTACTGTGCCTGGCTTCATTAGATAGATTTGTTTTTTGTTTGTTTATTTGTTTTGAGTAGCATCCTCCTGGCCCTCTAGATAGCACTATTTTTTTTTTTTGGCATAAGAAAGAGGGGAACAATGTGATAGGAGTCGTCACGGTGTCCCCACATTCTCCTCTGGTGCAGGGTTGACTGTGGCAGTCAGCCCCTTCTGAGATTGTACTTCCTGTTGGGATTGTAGACTAGGTCCTGTCCAAAGCATGACTGTCCTAAATTTTCTTTCTTTTTGGCAAGGCGGGACAGATGATTATTTCACTACCTGAGAGTTGCCTGCTCACCACGGACACAGTTATTCGAAGCTCGTTAGGGGCATACATCACTAAGTAAGTGACCCCAGGGTGCTTCTCTGGTGCCAGTGCTTCTCCTTGAAGCCTCTGTCATTGACCAACTCTCATCTAAGGCATGGTTCATGAACATCAAGCCTCTTGTCTAGTTAAGAAATACCGGAAATGAATAGATTTTTAATTTTTCAGTTCTAGGAAGTGAATTCATTGTTAATTGCATTTTTAAGGTCTTAATAGACTTCCTGGGATGGGATGTAAATCCTCATCCACCACTTACTAGAAAATGAAGGTGAAATAGGATAATATATGTAAATCACTACCCAGTACCTTGACTCCTAGTAGCCTGTTTTCTTCCACCATAGTAAGTCTAGATACTTGTTCATTAACTCCTCTAATTTCACCCTGATTGTACCTGCTCGAGTTATTCTTCAGCTGTGAAGAGCTTTGACATTAGATGAAAGAATGAGTTTTATTTAGGCAGAGAAGAGAGGGGTGATGTGGGAGTTGAGAGCTGTTTCTGGCTCGTGTGGTGGGGCTTCCATTGGGCACCATGAGGACAGAGTGAGTGGGAGTCCTCAGTGAAGAGGATTTCTAAGTGATGAGGGCTGTCTCCTAACTGAAAATAAGCTGTCGACTCCTTTATGCCTGGTGTGTTTTTGGATAAGGGTAATACAGGGTAGGCCTGATTACTGACAAAGGTGCTTCTGGGATTGGCATTTTCAGAAGTTTTGAGTAGTTTCTCAGGTTTTGAGTAGAATAATATGGCAGTGTAGGAATCTAGACTTTGGAGGATTAATGAAAACTTTTTTTTTTTCAGCTTTAGTTGAGTTTATTGGTATGTTTTAGGGATACAATACAGTTACATTCATTGTTGGGATCTTGTACCTCTACATGACAGGTCTTGATTCTCATTTTTCCCCTTACCTCTGCCCTCCCTTCACCCCCTCCTCCCCTCCTCATCTACAAACACTTTATTTCCATCTTTTCATCTCACATTTTTTTCTTTTCCCTTATTACCCTTCCCCTACCCATCCCACCTTCCCTACACCTTTAGCTCCTTTCTTCCCATTTCTAAATGTCAGTAATCTTATTAGGATCTTATGTATTATTGCAGATTATTCACACCAGGGAATTGAAAACTTTTTCTAAATATTCATGTTATGTGAGATCTTTTTTTGAAAGTATGCAAAAGCAGAGATACTATTATGCATAATCTGTAATAAAGTGTATACGTTTAGGAATAAAAGCTTTCAAACAGCAAGAAGTGGGCCAGGGGTTTAGCTTAGTGTTTTTTTTTTGTCTGCCTCAAACAGCAAGAAGTTATGATGAGCACACTGATTTTGCAGTCTAAGTTGGTCCTGTCTTGTACAACTTTCGGTAATGACAGAGGTTTAACTTTCTGTTGTCCAGTATGGGGGACATTGGCCACAAATGGGTATTGGTTTTTGGAAGCACAGCTTATCCTACTTCAGGATTGAATTTTAAATATTCAATTTTAAATAATTCCAACTTACAGTTACATGTGCCAGTCATTATTGTATTGAAGTGTGCAGTCTAAGCTTTTTCCCCCAACCATGTTTTCCATCCTTATCCAGATGAAAGAAATGGATTTATTGCAAAAGCTCTCAAACTGGAGAACACATTTGGAAGTTTTTGCAAAAATGATTCTCTTACAGAAACGAACTTGTCAGAGTTGGGTTAGATGGTCTGCTTTTCTAATGTAATTATGTCTTGTTCAGAGCCTGTGTATGGGGTGTACACTGGAGAGGAAAGGCTTTAAGCTGTCTTGGGTACATGAAGTCAACTTAGATTTCTAAGATTTCTAAGTTTGAGCACAATCCTGGAACAAAAGAAGCCACTTGCTTTTTCTGTACTTTGTATAAAAGCAATTTCTTTAACCAGCTTTTCCTTTTACAAGGTGGAAGCCTTCTCCATCTCCTCTCTTGGCCCTGTGCACCTTTTTAGTTTCAGAAAAGCATGCTGGTCATCGGTCTGTCTGGAAGCCTTACCTGGATATTTTACCCAAGTCCTACACCTGCCCTGTTTATTTGAAGCCAGAAGTGGTGAATCTTCTTCCTGAACCTTTAAAAGCAAAGGCCAGAGAGCAGAGGGATTCTGTTCAGGACTTTTTTGCTTCCTCCAGGGACTTTTTTTCTTCCCTGCAGCCTCTGTTTGAAGAGGCCATTGACAGAGTATTCAGCTACAGCGCCCTCCTGTGGGCCTGGTGCACCATCAACACCAGAGCAGTGTACCTGAAGACCCGGAGGCAGGCCTGTCTTTCCTCAGAGCCTGACACCTGTGCCCTAGCTCCTTACCTGGATCTGCTGAATCATAGCCCGAATGTCCAGGTGAGAAACTGACATGGAGGTGCATGTTTCCTTTGGAGAGGCAGAATCCAGCATGTAGAATATGGGACTTTCAGTTGTCAGTGAAACCGTCAGGAGAGATGCATTTGGTTTCAAGTAAATTTTTTAGACCAGTCTTCCCCTGATCCTTGCTTCACACCCCACTGTGTCCTGACATGCTTTTCCTTTGCCCTGATTCTCCACTCTGCCCGAAGAGCCCTCTGTTCTTCCCCTGAAAAGCCTTTACCATCAACTCATGGTGCAGAGTCTTTCTTTCTCCTCCCTTCTTCCAGACTGTGGCTGAAGTCTACCTTGTTTTCCTTCCTATCCCTTAACACAGCTGGCAGAGCCTGTATCTTCACTCTGGTCACTGATTGACTCCCCACTTCCCCTACCAAGCCTGCATTCTTTGAGGTTGGGGGCTTTGTCTTGCTCCTCTTTTTATCCCCAGTGCTCAGAGTGGGCCTGTAGTAGGTGTTCAATAAATGTTCGCTGCCTGGATGAATGTTTGTGGGGAACGGATTCTGGGAAATCATGAAAGAATCTCACAGATAACCTCTTCCTCAGCCCTTTCCGCATGTGGCGCATGTGGGAGATGAGGACATGTGCAGGGCATGCTGGGTAAAGGCCTGACTGGAGGGAGAGGAGTCAGTCTGGCAGCTCATCTGTGGCCCACTGGGGACACATTATGGACCATGTGGCTGGGATCTGAGCCTGTGCCGTCCCCTTGGTGTGACATGCCACCGTGAGAGGGCTGATACAGTCCTACTAAGGCCCCATGCCCGTGAGAGGAGAGCTTAGTGAAGAGTCCTTCCTGCTGGGTTTCTTGAGCTTAGGCTGGTCCCCTGGTCTGTCTGCAGTTGTCAGCCCGTAGCCTGAGGTGAGGTGGATGTGTGTGCAAAAGTAACAATTCCTCGTTGTAGGTAAAAGCAGCATTTAATGAGGAAACTGGCTGTTATGAAATTAGAACTGCTTCAAGTTGTAGAAAACACGCAGAAGTGTTCATCTGCTATGGCCCTCATGATAACCACAGACTGCTCCTGGAATACGGATTTGTTTCCCTCTGCAATCCTCATGCTTGTGTTTATGTCTCAAGAGGTTGGAATCAACTTTGTTATGATTAAGATCATATTTTTCCCATTAAGAGATAGGGTTATTTTTAGTTTGAGAAAAGAGCAAAACTTTCAAACATCCTTACATGTTTATTTTATCCTCTGTCCAGCTAACTTAACTTATGGATTCTGAGTTCAGTGTTGAAGTAGAAACAGCAAAGCTGTGATGATAACGAGGATAAGGAGAACTGAAAGAGGTTATCTGTGTTTTATATCAGGAGGTCAGAGGGTAGAGTGAAAGTAAAGTAAAACTGCTAAGGAAATGAGTGTATTAGCGGAGGGAGAAATGAAAATATTGGTACTGAGGCGTTGTCATAACTGCTGAAAACAGGATGTGATGAAGGAGCAATAAATAATGAGTTTTTACCTCAGCACCTACTGTTTGTAGGGTGCTGCTAAACGCAGAAGTAAGTCTGTTATTTCATCCTTGTTTATGGACTTTAATGCCAAGATAAAATGTTCATTTCATTGATGTTCTTTTGTGATCTAACATGCCACTTTCATTTATATTTCCATTTAAAAACAATGAGGGGAAGAAAAGTCCAAATTTTTATCAAAAATGATACACAGAAGGCTAACCCCTTTGAAAGCAGCAGAGAAGCCATTCTAGGCTATAAAGAAATGGCCAGAGATTCCCCAGTGTGTAGTTTGATGGAAGATCTAATGAGTTTAGAAACCTGGTCAAGGCAGTTTAATGATAATATAGGCACAATGATGATAATTCTCTTAATAGAAACAGAAACTATAGCTTGCAGGGTATTTTAGAAAACTAGCTTTTGATTTGGCCTCATAATTCAGAATCAAGATAACTTTCAAGTTTATTACTGCAAAATAATAGTTACCAAATAATTTGAGCAAAATTGCATTTTAGTTACTTTTCCACTTAAAAAGTAAAATAGGGGCTGGGTGTGTGGCTCAGTGATAGAACACTTGCCTAACATGTCCAAGACCCTGGGTTTGATTCCCAGTACCACAAACGAACAAAACAAGTTAAAAAAACTCCAAAAGAAAAGCCTTTTAGTACCCCTTTTTTCTCAATAGCTTTGACAGTTTTTGCATATTTATTTTAAATTGTTTATGGCTGGAATCATTAATGTCCAGACTATCTTGAATTCTGGCTTTTAAAACTCAGTATTGTAAAACTTTTTCCTTGGGCTTTACAGAGCCCGTACTATTGTTGGCTGTTATTCTCTAGAAATGAGCATAATATCTCAATTCACTGGTTTTGCTGGTTGAGTTACTTAGTGGGAGCTGAGCTTGTGGATGTTTTGTCCCCTGGCCTTGAAATTGTTAACAGCTTGCCTGGGACTAGTGATCTCATTGCATCGGAGTGGAGGAGAGTTCTTTTGTGTGACTGAGGAACACTGGTGCCGTGGGAAGTCAAGTTGAAAAGGGGAGACATAGGTTTGTCTCAGTTCCACCCTAACTCTGATTTTCTTCTTCTTTTTAATGTAGAAATACTTGTTAGATATCTTCCATCAACAGATAAACAGATGAACAAAAAGATTTCCATTTTAAAGGATCATGGCTTTATGGCGTAAGTGTTACCCTTGCCCTCTTGAAATTGCTTTTCAGGCAATTCTCATGAAAAAATTGGCGTTCTGGTTTCTGTAGGGGTCAGGCCTTTCCCGACTTGAATCAGAGGATGAGTAGGTGTTTACTGACCCTTTGAGGTGTGTAGTACAGTTGTGTCCAGTCTTATGTCAAGGAATGTAAGACACTTTAAAGACACTTATTTGGGGGATATAACATACAAGCTTGAAATACTAAATTACTGTAGCAAAGAAAGCTCTGTGTTGATTGGTGGCCCGGGGTGAGTTTGTCTGCTGTGTGGTCATGTGGGATGGCACCAGGCGATTGCAGGCCAGCCTGGTCCTTAGGAGAACCATTACCCATGGCATTATGGGTAAGCGGTAGCTGCATCACAGCACAACACTTGGCATACAAGGGTGGCTGGGTGGTTCCACACCTAATGGGGTAGGCAGAGTTTAGGGCTCTCCCTTCCAGATTTGTTTTCTGGATAATACAAGTTTTAAATAATCTACGGCAGTGTGAAAGCAGCCTGGTTGTGGTGCCTTACATTTGTTCAGTGGTCTAGGATGATCTGAATTCTTCCTCATTCATCTCAGTGTGAACTGTGTGTTGTGACCTCCTGCTGTGGCCTCTCAACCAACTTGTGTCTGTCACTGCAACTGGTTGGAAAGTAGCTTAGTACTTTAAATGGGGGGGTATTTTTTTTGTTCCTTAGGATTTATTGAGCACTTGCGATTATGTTTTTGACCTAGGTTGCAAGTGACAGATGTTTTGTGGCCCCACTTAAAAGAAATGTTTGACTCTTCAGCTGTTTTTCATGGTGTTATGAAATAATGAAATGACAGGTGGTTGCTTTTTGTTTTTCTACTTTAGAAATTTAACGTTTGGGTGGGATGGACCATCTTGGAGGTTACTCACAGCTCTGAAGTTGCTATGTCTGGAAGCTGAAAAATTGTAAGTTCCACATGTGTTGGTCTTTACCTGTAGCTACAGCCTGGACGTAACTTTGGGGCATCTTTGGCCTGCATTCAGATGCTGGCCCTGAGAAGAGAAAGGCTTGTCACCCTAGGTTAGAGTTCCTTCTTCTGTATGTAATTTGCTCTCGGAGAGTGGGTTTTCCTTCTGAGTTTTAACCACTTCTGGAATTCTGGTTTTAGAGTTACAGTCAGGGTACCTGGCTCCTCTGAGGATTTTTCAGTCTCTCCTCAGATGTTCACTTGCTGACCTGATGTCTTTTGTTCAGAGTAAATGCTGGCAGCCTTTTCCTGACAGGCAGAGCTCCTTATTACTGCCCCCCTCTCCCCCGTCTGAGGCAGCTGTTGCTTTAGCAACTTGTTGCTCATTGCAGTAAAAATGATCTTTTGGGTTCTTATGGATTCCTCATCATGTATAGCATGCATACCATACCAGATATGTAGTAATGGTCCAGGTCTATGGTGGTTAAGGTTTCTAGTCAACAGCAGGCTCTTAGCAGTTGAGTTTTGCGAGAGTCAAAAGTTATACACAGATTTTCAATTGTGTAGAGTAGAGGTCAGCTTGCCCAGCCCCTGAGTTGTTCAAGGGACTAGGTAGATGATTTCACTCTCAGCACACGGTATCTTTTTATCTTGCAGACATGGTGACTTCTTTCCATTGTAAAACAGGCAAAATTGTGGTCCACTCAGATGTGCAGGTTGCTGAGACCTGTGATTCACCACTGACTCTTTCCTGGCTGTATCTTTGTACCTTTCCATCTCTTGTTTTTCCTTTGTCTTGTTCTCCCCGTCATTCATCTTATGGAATGTTTTGTCTTGTGTGGACCCATGTAAGTGTCTTTAAATCCTTCTTGGACCAAGATATGTATGAATTTTTTTAGGCATTTTAGCATAAAGTTGCATAAAGCTACTAATGTTTTCCAGAGGTCGCTTTCCTTCCCCTGAGTAACTTCTCACCGGCCGATTGCTGTGGCAGGCAAGGCCTGTGGCCAGCAGGATTCTGCCTGTTGTGGGTCTGGTTGCCATTTCTGCCTCCCATGAGTTGTGTCTCCCTAGGTGAGATCTCTCACTTTCCAGATCCCAGTTCCTTTGAGTCTCCCATCGGGATAACAGTGCTCTCTTTGTAGGTCATGGTGCAGATTATGTAAGGCAATGGTTATCCATGAAACACTGGGCCGGCTACATAGTACTTTTCTGCTTTCTTTCATGGCAGCTCCTGTGTTCCTAATCATCTGTCAACTTCTCTGAAGCTGAAGACTAAGTCGAGTCCCTACTGTGTCTTTTGAGCTGTTCTGAATTTCTCACTGGTGTGTGTACTTCCACTCTCGTGGTGTAGCAATCTTCCCTTCCCCTTGTGAGTCTCTGCCACCACTTTCGGTTTCTCTGCATCCGCAGCCTGCCCCTCCATCCTCCTCCTCCCTGGCTGTTGCTGCTTCCTTGTGTATAGATTTGCTCTGCCCCTCCTCACACAGCGTCCTACCTTGGCTCCCTTGTGCCTGCCCTAACACCTCTGTGCTCTTCTGCCTTCAGGAACTCGGCCCCACTTGCCCCCGAGACCATTTCCTGCAGCCCTGTGTGTGTGATGGTGGAGTGACCTGCGTGGAGAGAAAGGGTTGGCTATAAACTCCTCCTTCCACGTGTAGAGCAATTTGCTGTGTGAACTGGCTCCAGGTTGTCACCTTTCAGGGAAGACTTCACTTGAGAGGGAAACTCCAGGGCCTTACCTCCTTTCAGCCGGTGCTCACCTTCCTGCCCTGTCTCTTCCTTTCTGTTCCCACAGCTGATGCATGTGACTTCACTTACTTGTGTGCTGAGAACAGAGTTGTGATGATAATAAAATTCAGTCCCTGTCAGCAGAAAGCACCCGATCCCTAGCTTTTCAGTCCCGGTTATTCCTTCTGTCATGTCCTCCTTGACTTTCCACAGGAGCTGCCCATGGCATGGAAGTTTTAGGAAATCTCCTTATGGAAAATTTTTATTTATTTATCCCATAAGAATAGGAAAGTCTGTGTATTGTGTTGCAGCATGGAGATTGTCTTTATTTTTAAAGAAGCCCGCTGAAATTATAAAACATTCTGGTTCTAGTACTTGCTGGTCTAAAGTGCTCCTTGGAGAAGTGATTTCAGATACAAATGAGAAGACAAGTTTGAACATAGCGCAGAAAATATGTTATTATCTCATAGAGGAGACTACTGCTGTGCTTCAAAAGGTATGTTTCTAGAATATTACATCTTTTTAACTGATAGGTAAAAACTGTATGTATTTACGGTGTGCAACATGATGTTTTGATATATAAATGTACCATTACCGTGGGATGGCTTTAATTAAGCCTTTTAACATATTTCTTATATCACATACTATTTTTTATGGCAGGAATCTTTAAAATCTACTTTCTGACCAATTTTTAAGTGTACAATGTACATGTTACTAACTGTGGCCACTGTGAGGTACAGTAGAACTGTGGAACTTACTTCTCTTGTCTCGCTGAAATGTTGCATCCTTTACCAACCTTTCCCCTGTCTCTCTCCCAGCCTCAGTGTCTGGTAACCACTGTTCTGTGAGTTCAACTTTTTTTTTACCCTGTGCATATATGGGAAAACATAATTTTGTTTTTCTGTGCTTGGCTCTTGTCATTTAATACTATGTCCTGGTTCATCTGTGTTGTCACAAATGACAGGATTTCTTTTTTTTAAAGACTGAACAGTACTATGTATATACAGCACATTATCCATTATCTTCATCCAATTCATGGGCCCTTAGATGATTCCATATCTTTACCTACACCTTTAAGCAATTAAATGTTGTTTGTCGGGGGTGGTGGCACATATCAGTAATCCTACCACTTGGGAACCATGAGTTCGAGGCCAGCTAGGGCTACATAGTGAGTTCAAGGCCAGCCTGGACTATATAGCAAGATTCTGATTAAAAACAAAAGAATTAATTGTTATCACATGCTTCTTAGTACTAGATTTTAAGTATTCTTTTGCTTTTATGTTTTAATTTTGCAATTGTTTTAATTAAATGAGAAGTCAGCTCATTTGTGTGGCTGGGATTTAAAGTCATTTTAATGAGCCCTGAATACACTGTGAACAAAGACAGACATGAAAGGACAAATATTGTATGATTCCACTTGATGTTCCAGGACAAGCAACTTCCTAGAGACAGAGTAATACAGAGAGGGGCGTGGGGCAGAGGGAATAGGGTTGTTAATTGTTACAGTGCTTGTGTGTGGGAGGCTAAAAACAGTTTTGAAGATGAATTGTAAAAGTGGTTATAGAACAATGTAAATGTATGTTATGGCACTGAATCGTGCACTTAAAATGTTTAACTGGTACATTCAAGATGCATTTATATTTTACTATAATAAGAAATCAGGTAAAATAACTTCCAGGTTTCTCACATGAAGGATGAGAAGGTGTCTTCGATAAACCAGCTTACTTTGGTGGAAACATTGAGGACGGAAGAGCTGAAAATTCTCAAGGCCTCTGCTGAGGCCCTCAGCAGTTTGCAAACCACTGTCACCTGAATTCCCCTGGGTGCCTGTGATCACTTCCTGTGGTGGGTGCGACTGAAACCTTTTTAAAGTGTAGTTGGAATAAATTGATTTTATATGGACTCACTGACGGTGGTTGAATGGTTTCTTATTAAATAGTGAGGTACTTAATCCTTTTTCTTTGGCTTTTCCAGCAAGTAACTGAACTTTTAAGAGCGTCTTCCCAAGAAACAGTAATGGCTGCTCCACTCCTAAGACATTGAAGGCATCTGCAGGGGCAGAGGAAGTCCTAGAATTGGGGAGCCGTGGGTGAGGACACATGTGCCATCTGAGTGACACTTCTGACTCTCCACAAAATAAACCGCAGTGCTGCGGGAAGTGGGAGGGAAATCCAAACCAGGAGGGGAGAGAGGCTGAGAGGGAGCTGGGAGGTCTGTCCTTGCGTGTCCTGCTTCCTTGCTTTTCACATGCCTCATACCGTCCAGTTAAAGGGCTGCCTGGCAGCTGGTGGCTGTGGTGTCTGGGTGGGAGCTCAAGGCAGCCCTGGCCCTGTCCAGGTCTCAAGGACCTTCCCTGTGTAGCAGGCTTGAGGAGGGTGTGGAGGAGCCTTCTGGGAGGCACTGAAGAGTACCCACGAGGGCCAGATTTCCTGGCCTCTCACATGCCCACATTGGGCCTTGATGCTTAATTTTGGAAGAAAGACTGTGCTCAGCCATGCTGTTCTTTCAGCATGTTCTGGCATCTCTCCTGGGCAGCCCTATTCACTTTGGGGGCCAGGCCTTGGCTTGCCCAACAGTGCCTCAGTGGACACTTCTGCTTGATTCTGGGGTTCACTCTGGGGCTATTGATTTCAAGCCGCGTTAGCACTTTGGTCTCTGCTTTACTCTTGCTTTTATTTTTGTCCCTCAGACCCGGGCCGAGGACAAGGGGACATCTCCTTTGGAGCTGTTGAGCTCTGTGTAGCCTCTGGCAGACCTTGGGGGCAGTGGTAGAGCCAGGACTGAGAGTTTGCAGACAGCCTGTCTGGGGACACCCACGCAGTCGCTGCCGCCGCCCGGAGTCCTCCTTCCCTGTGACATTCCTCCTTCTCCAGAGCTCCAGTTGCTTTCTGATTGTGGGGCTTTGACAAAACCAAATGAATGGCTCTCACCCCAGAAGGCAGGCAGAGTCTACACACACATTTTTGGTGATATATCTTGAACAACTTTCCCTGTTCACATATAGAGCTTGTGTTGATTTTGTTTTTAATAGCAGGCATGTTTCATGATAATGCTATTCTGGAGGTCAGCAAACGCTCTATGGAGGGCTAGATAGTAAATATGTGAAGCCTTCTGGATTATGAATTCTCTGTCCCAACTGTGCTGCAAAGCTCCCATAGGACAGTATGTAAGCAAATGACTTGGCTGTGTTCCACCGACACTTTGTTTTTAATGAAATTTGCTGACTTCTGTGCTGTACCAGAATTTTTTTCCTGCCTTCTACAAATTGAAAGCCCCCTTTGAATGTTGGAATCTTTGCAGACATCACATGGTAATTGTTGTAGTCCACCAAGGATTAAGGGAGGAAAAAACATAATGACAAAAAGTAACTTCTCAGGTACATTTACCAATGAATGTCTTATCATCCGTAGCCAATCTGAAGAATGGTAATTTAAGACTTTCAGTGCTTAATATCTATCCATCCATCCATCCGTCCATGAATAAGTGAAGTCATAGGCCCCTCTGATAAGAAATCTGCTCCTGAGTCAGGCCCACAGGGAGAACCACTGTTTCCAGACCTTCCTGCCTCCTCTATGTTTTTATACAGCCATGATCAGGGCTGCGTACCTGTCTCTCTCCAGGTGGGGAAGCCCAGCCTGCAGAGCTTTTTACCCAGTGGCTCTGTCTTTTTCCTTATTCTTGAGTGACCCCCTCCCACTCCTGCTGCACCCCCTGTCCCAGTACATTTTCTTCCTTTTTGGTTTTCTTTTTGCTGACACCTTAGTGCCCATGAGGTCCTAAGCACTCAAGCCTCAGTGGTATCTGGTTACTGAGCTGTGGGTGGTAAACCTTCAACTGCTGAGGACCTGAGGGGACAGACACCTAGCAGTTAAGGATGATTTGAGGCATTCCCCTGTAATCCTCCAAGCTAAAAATAGCAGAGGCCCTCTCAGGCTGGGGGATTGAAGTGCTGCTGCCTGAAGGTACAGACTGACAGTGACCTTTTAGGAAACCGGAGCTTCAGTTCCGTAAAAATGGTTTTCTTTATCCCATGCACCTGCTTGCTGCCCTGAGGGGTCCACAGAGGGGCCGTGGCCATACCAAAGAAGGGAATTCATTTTAGCTCCTTACTTGGGAAACAGCAGCTACAGACCCATGTTGGGCGGTGGGTTTTGTCCCCAGCACAGCACAGCAAGACTTGTGTTGATTTGACGGCTGATTGTTGAACACAGGAGCTTTGTCAGAAATGTTGCATGTGGGACCACTTGGAAAAAGAACTTTCCTTAAAAGACCCAGAAAGACGTGGGTGAACTAAAAGAAACATTAGGAGGGAGAAGTGGGCTCGATGGATTGTTCTGCAGCCCTGCCCAAGTCCTCCACAGCATACACAACTCCAGCGCCCGCCACATCCAAGCCCTTGTACCATACAGCGTACCAGTGTCCCCCATCGAGAGCCTTCTGCTGTCTACTGCTGGCTTCAGTCACCTCTCAGAGGGCTGTCCTCGGTCTTCATCATTGTTATATCCTCTTGGTTTCCTTCTGTGACGTTTTAACCTTAGGCTATTAGTTTTTAAAAAAACTCACAAAATAGAGTTTAATAAAAAATGTAAGGTCACCATTTCGTATTCACAGAGGATGGCTGTAGTCCAAACAATAGCTAATAACAAGACAGTAACAATGTGGAGAAGTTAAAACCTCATACACTGCTGGTTAGGAGATAAAATGGTGCAGCTGCTTTGGCAGTTTGACATTTTCTGAAAAGGATGAACATCAAGTTACCTTTTCCTTAGGTCACATCTCCCCGAGAGAATTGAAAACGTTAACAAAAACCGTCGATGAGTGTTCATAAGCAGCATTATCCACAAAATCAAAAGCCCAAATGTCCGCCACAGGACGATTGGATAAACACAATGTGGTACTGCCCGTAAAATGGAACACTGTTCAGCCGTAGAAAGGAGCGAAGTCCTCATACACGGCACAGCGTGGATGAACTTTCAAAACATTATGCCACCAAGACCTGGCATGTAAAGCACAAGATCCCAGTAATGAATGTAACTGTACTGTCTACCTAGAATGTACCAAGACATTCAATTAAAAAAGAAAACATTATGCGAGAGGAAAGAATCCAGTCACAGGAGGCCACAGACAACTTCATTTGTATGACATGTCCAGCTGAGGCTCGTGTCCAGAAGTAAAAGTGCCAGTGGTTGCTTAGCGGGGTGCAGTGGTGAACGGAAGAAAACAGCTGTGGAGCACAGGGTTTCGGGGTTTCTGGAAGTGACAGACATGGTCTAAAATTGTCCTGTGGTGACACAGCCCTGTGAAACGAGTAAAGCCCACGGAATTGTACCCCTGAATGGATTTTGTAGCTTGTGAATTTCAGGAAAGCGGTTAGAGAGTAAGGTTCATGTCTAACCGTGAAATTACATCCGTCTTCAGGAAGTTCGGAAACGGTTCTCACACGCAGGTTCAGAGTTTGTCAGTGAGGCAGTGGTGGTGAAGCCCTGGCAGTGTCAGGCTCGAGCCCCACTCTTTCTGTCGCCTCTTTTAATCCCGGTGATGAGTCTCTGAGGCGAGGGTCTCCTGATTTTGTAAGTGTGGAAAGGAGTTCAGAGAGGTGATGTTTTCACTGAGTGGCAGGGCTTGGGTCCACACTTGTGCCCCTGACGTCCTGTGCGGAAGATGGCTTTGGTGAGAGGGCTCAGCTCTGTGTCATCAAAGCGTGGCCCGACTGGCTGGCTCTGGCAAGAAACTGCTGGGGCTGCGGGCTGAGGTGCTACAGCCCTGCTTCGTAAATCGTGCTCTGCTGGCCTGCACAACCCTGGCTGCTTTGGATAAGCAGAGGGAATCACTGATACACGGGAGCGCATCTTCAACAAACGACAACCCATTGTCGGAGACAATTACGGGCAACGGGCAACATTTCGTAGAAGACGGAGTAGATTCAGAGTGGCAGATGGGCTCACCTGTGCTGCGTGGGGCGGTGAAAGGAGGTTTCCGGTTTCAGGAAGTTGGAGCCTTTTCTGCGATCACGTCCTGGATCCGAAACAGCCAGATTGCGTAATCCCACAGGGATCCACCGAGTTAGGATCTCTTGGGGAGGGACCCGGAACATGGGGCTCCGGGACAGACTTCAGTCCATACTACTGATGGGGCGGTTCCAGAGGAGGAACCCCTCAGTGGGTTTGGTGTGTCCTTTGGTGGGTTCTTGGTAGCATTAGGGAAACTTGACCTTGAGACCCAGGGATTCTTTTTTAAGAGTAGGAAAAATTTACTGAGGGAAAGAAAGTTTCTAAGAGAGACAGAACTGGACTGGAAAGTGGGTTGCCTGCTCACCCTTATTTTTGAATATGTTGTATACAGCAAAGCCAGGTGGTGAGGTGGGTACAAAGTGGGACAAAACTGTAAGACCCAATGGAAAATTACAAGGTGGGCATGAGGTGGGGCCAGACCATGAGCAACCAGTAAGATTACAGGTACAGTCACCAGGTGATACTAAACGGGGGAGCAAGTCACATAGCAGGCATACAAGGATTTTCAGAAAGGTGGAGGTCAGGGATATTTCCTTGAAAGGCTGAGAGACCCGGCGATTCTGAGGTTCGTTTAGTGTCAGAGGACAGGCGTGCTGGACTGCTCTGACTTCCTCGTTTTGTGGTAGAAGCCCGGAGAGGCTGAGAAACGTGTTCTGGCACCATCGATTTCGGATCAAAACCAGCTTTTCACCCATCCTGGTGGGCTTTTCCCCTCTCCTGCATCCTTCTCCCAGACTGTAAGATCCAGAACCCTCCCAGAGGAGCCCCCCTAATGCTGCTCCTCTCCTGGAGAACCAGAAAGTCCCAGCAGGGTTGTTGGGGTGGAAAAGGGAAGTAAGTGATGGACTCCACTCAGAGGGACAGGGACAGACAGCTGCCGAGTCCTCTCTGGTGTGGCGCATTTGTGTCCGTCTTCCTCATTTCATTTTCACAAGAGCTTCCGGATCAGGTGTGGCGTCTGATTAGATGGGAGGACACTAAGGCATGGAGGAGTCAACAGACCTGCCCCACACCATTCAAGTGAGCGCAAGCCTGGTTTGTCAGTGATTCCCGTTTCTGTCTTCGAAGACAGGAAGTCTGGGGTACAGGATGGGCACTGCCACCTCGAGCGGTTGATTTTGTTGGTCCTGTTCTCCCAGCAGAACAGGAGACGTTACTGACCTTTCTGCACTCACTCGTGCAAGGGGGTCTGTCTAAAGGGAGCCGAGCTTCGGGGGCAGGGAGGGCTGCTCAGAAGTCTGGGTGCCAAGCCCTCTCCCTGCATCTCCTCCTTGGGACAGGTTCCATTTCGGTTACAGCCCCTGCTCAACCCGTACCTCAAAGCGCAGTAGCTGATACTAGAGAACGATAAAGGATAAAGGCGTGGAGATCCCCGAAGGGAGGCCGTTCCCCATCTCTGAGGAATTTATCCTGGGGCGGGGCTGTCCTGCTGACCTTTTGTGTCCTTGTCCATTTCAGCAGTTAGCCTCTGAGAGCTTTCTCCTGGTGCCAGGGAAACCACTCAACCCAAATACTTCCACCAGCCTGGATTTAGAAGGTAAGGCAAGGGCCAGGGCTGCAATGAGCCCACTTTCCAATTATCGGGACAGCAAATAATCTTAACTTTGCCCTTATTGCAAAGGGAGACTGAGTGTTTGAAGATAAAAGTGAGTTCAGAATATCGCTAGAAAAGCAGGTCAGGCCGAAAGGAGTGTGAGAAACAGGCAGTGCAGACCTTTGCTTCATCGGTGAGTCCTCAAGACTTGGTTGAGTTCCACGCCTCCTAGGCCTCAGATTGTGGCCCACGTCTTAGTCGTGCACTTGGAACTCTGACAAGTGCTGGGGTCCGCCCTGTGAGGGCCTCGCTTCATTGATCTGGGTGGGGTGTGTCCGGGCACTGGGAGTGGGTCACTGAAACTGCCACGGAGCCGTTCTGAGCCTATGCCATACAGGAGAGACGCGAGACTTCTCCCCGCTGGAACATTCTGCTTTCAAAAACCTTTAATTACAGTAATTTTGGGAGGCAGGATAGAGAGTGTCCATTCCTACCGGCCACCTTTATGCTGCATCAATCTTTTAAGTAGCACCAGTCGATGTGTATAGACCAATCCAGGGATCAATCGCTTTTATCATTTGACTCAGCAAATAGAGTTAAATATAAACACCAAATCCACAGTAGATGATCGATACTTTTTAGGTTTTTTTTTTCCTTCACAAGTATCTTTTGAATGTGATCCACACCTCTAAGTGTCCTGAGTGTTTGGATTGCTGCCTAGAAAGGTAGCAGATGAATGAATCCTCCTGAGACTTTGCGATGTCCTCGAGCCACTTCTATTTTAGTACACTAGATGGCGCCAGAGGACCAGAATTGGGGATGCTGATTTGGGCATTGACTCGGTGGAATTGAGTAACAGGATTTTTTTCCCTCCAAATATGAGTAGAACCCCAGCAGGCAAAAGCAACGCTCTTGATTGTTATTGGGATCAAATGCAGATGTTCCCTTTCTTTTTTTCTTTGGGCATTTGGATCTTCTTGAGTGAGAGGCAGGCAGATACACAGCTCAAGCTGCCAGCTTGCCAGGAAAGCGTCCTGGCCAGGTAGGGCAGGGTGGTCCAGAGGACTGGGCAAAGGAAGGACAAGTGGTTAGACTCAGGAACAACCCTGTCTGCCAGCAGACAAGCCATAAATATATATATATATATCTCTATATATATCTATATCTATATCTCTCTTTCTCTCTCTCTATATATATATAAAATTTTTTTTTTGGTACTCAGAATGAAACTCAGGACCTTGCACTTGTAAGGCAGGCAGCAGCACCACTGAGCTAAATCCCTGGCCCTATGTGTATATCCTTAGCACTTTCTTCTGAGGAATTTCTCGTACCAGCTAGCAGGTTTTAATTTCCATCATCATTTATAGGAATAGACAAGGTCTACCTGACATGCAGGTAAAGAGAGGAACTCCTGTTAAGGAATTAAAATTAGTCACCCAAAGAAAGAGGGAGTCACAGGTCCTCATCTGGAGACAGTTCTACAGTAAGAAAGTGGTCATTGTGTGGAAAGCTGGCCCACCCACTGTCTGAAGGGCGCATTTGACCCAGGGTGCCTACGGCTCCTCTCCTCGGGGAAGTCCACCCTTAGCTATGGCTCCTCCTCCAGAGGCGACCACAACTGCAGACCCCAGCATGGGCAGACTTAGCGCCATGGCCTGCTGTGACTTCATGCTTGTGGCCCCGTTGGAAGCGATTTCTTCCATCTGCTGGGCCTTCTCAGTGCCTCTGTTATGTTGTAGCTCCACTAGTTTACTGTGGAGACAAGGACCTCCTCTCATGATCCTCCTCCTCCCCACTTCCTGCTGTCTTACTCATCGTGGCTTTGTCTTGAGTGAAAGTTTGTTTCCTCTTGGGCACGTTGGTTTGGACAGTACTGGCAAGGACACTGGATGAGGCCCTTACACAGCGTTGCTGTTCTGTTTTTCAAGCTTGGAGAGTGGAGAAAACTGTCAATTCCCGTTTCTCACATCGAAGTTGCATTACTGGTGATGCTGGTTGTGTGTTTGGGATTCAGATATTGCTGGAGAATATTTGGGTTGGGATGATGAAGGCTTTTTTTTTTTTTTTTTTATTGCTGTTTTAACCTTCATAGCAGGCAGGCACTGTGTAAGCCTGGCTTGGGACCCGTGGTTCACCTGGACACACCTACAGGCAGGAGTTTCACAAGGTCGAAAATGTCCTGGCGGTATACCGAGTTCAGGGTCTGTAATGCCACCAGGAGCAAAATACTAGCAGGGGCAACTTCTAGGTTTCTTTCTTTTATAGTGTACCAAGGCAGAAGTCTGTAGAGGAGGAGGCCCTGCTGTCAAAAATGTCCCAGGAAGTGATAAACACGTTCACCATCTTTTTTAGGGGGAGGGTTGCTTGCCTTTACCTCGTTCCTCAGACAACATCAGCACGGCCCAGAGCCTGTGCCAATAAACAATCTCAGACCTCCCACCTTCCTGGACCCACCGAATCAGAACTTGATCGCAAACAGTCTGCATCAGTTATGACAGAAAGCTGCGTCTCAGTGGTGTGGGTGGCTCCGGGGGTCCAGCCCGTTGAGGGGGTGAACCCATGGGCTTCACATCTGTGGATTCAGCCACCTGTGAATAAGAAACACATTCAAAAGAAAAACAAATTGCATCCATACCGAACATGACTTAATGCTGTCACTCTCCCCCCAAACAGCATAACAACTATTTACGTAGTGTTTCCGTTGTATTCGATATTAGAAACCATCAAGAGATGACTGAAGTAGACAGGTCCATGCAGGTTACGATGTAGGTCCACACAAATACTATACATTTGGGGGTTAGGGTGAGGTTGGGAGCTCTTCCCCCTGCATATCCAGAGGGACGACTGTACCAGGCTGCTGGGCCGGTCAGGTCAGTGTGGCTGTCACCCCGCAGCTCCGAGGCCACGTTTAAGCATGACTTTCCTAGGAGTGTTAGAGAGCAAGGGGCGGGGAAGGAGGTCAGGGGTGGTGGTGGGGGGTGACTTTGTCTTAGGCATCATGGGTTCTGGGGCTGGAGGACTCAGAAAGGGAGGAAACTTTAGGAGAGCTGCTAGCATTTTGAATACCGCTGGGCCTTGTCTTTCTTGTGGCTTTGGTTTCTGCAGCCGGTTCTAACAGGCCCACAGCTCACACAGCGATGCCAGAGGAGCTGCTGGCAGCTGCTGTGTGCTGGCCAGGCCGAGTTCATGGCATTGTTTTCACCCATTAGCTCATATTGCGCGGAATGGTGCGGAACAGGGCCTGTGTCCTTTCCTTTGTTTAGATACAGTTTTTTTTTTTCTTTGTGAGGGGAGAACGAAAGAGCGGCTGTCTTTTAAGGGATGTGCAAACAGCTTTGTCTTTTCTTCCTATTCCTGTCAAACAAAAGTCACTTCAGGACTCCAGGTCACATGGGATCCCTCACTGGCAGGAAGCCGGGCCTTACCTTGTGAATGTGTAACTTACAGGGAGTTCTCGACAGACTGAAAAAAAAAAGTCCCTTTTATCCTGTTCTGTTTTTTTTTTTTTCCCCTCCCACTGTTTTATTTCACTTGCATCACTCACACCCAAATGGTATTTGTCAGGAGTAATTGGCCAGCGCTGGAGGCTCTGTTCAAGGCTGCTCGAATGGAAAATCTCAAAGCGGTTGTCCACGGTGAAAGAAAATATTACATTTGATCTTTTAAAAAAAATGATTCCTGCAGACATGATGCGTGTCTGCATTCTTGAGCTTTCTAACCCCTTTCTCTTTGGGGGTGGGGGTTCCTGCAGGAAGCCACACTTCACAGTTCATTTATAGTGTTTATAGTGCCTGGGAAGTAACCACAACACACGAAGAAGACTCCCTTTAAAAACAGGAGTGTGATTTATTTTTATTAACTATCTCATAAACCTGCAGGGGTGTGTAGGCTGTTATGTATTGAATCACGACCTGAAGCTTCATGTTTCATGTGCATTTCTGCAAAGATGTTTATTCTTCTGGGTAAAAATTTGCCTATGGATGGTGGCAGCCACCCCTGCGATGGTGTCATGTGCGCTCTTATTGTAAGCTCCGTGTTCCTCCGGTGTAGGACACCAGACAGCCAACAAATTAGATTCACCCATGAGACTGACGCCCAGAGCGCAAGTGCACTGGCAGCCGGCATGGTGACAGGGACAGACTCCTCAGCAGTGCTCTCTGCCCTGCTCCAGGTGGCGTATTTTCTCCCTTCAGGCCCACAGCTGCTCCTTAATTCAAATCACATAGTTTGGAAGCTCAAGTTGACACAGGCCAATACGAATGTGTCTCCTTCTAAATTCCAAATGTGTATGTGTGTTCCAGACGTGTATGTATTGACCCATTAGATGGAGCGCAATCCAGTGCCGGGGATGACAGAGGTGGTGGGTGACTGTCACTACCTTGTATCTACTATGCTGGGGTAATTCTGAAGCTACGACACCAACAGCCACGTCAGTGTTACAGAAAACTCTAGACCAGGGGTTGGCAAACTATGGTCAGTCCCTACTTTAGAGTTTCCCCCACTAAATGCAAACTTTGTATTGTGGCAAAATAGGAATAATATAAAATTTACCAACTTGCCAATTTAAAATTGTATAGTTCAGGGCTGGGGATTTAGCTCAGTGGTTCCATCACCTGCTTGCAAGCGTAAGGTCCTGAGTTCGATCTCCGGTACCAAAAAAAAGTTAAATTATACAGTTCAGGGTGTTGTGTGTATTTACAGTGTTGGGTAACCAACCCCACTATCTACTTCCGAAACTCTTGCGTCACCTGAAGCAGCATCAAGAAATGCCCACCCACCTCTCCCCCAGCCAAAGGCAGCCTCTGTTTTATTTTCCATCTCCATGACTCGCCTATTCTAGATAGGTCGTGTTAGTGTCATCACACCATGTTTGCCCTCTTTCTGTGTGACTTATTTTGCTCATTTCATCGTGCTAAGACACTAGTAGTGTTTTCAAGTTCATCCACATGTCAGAATGTCATTCCTTCCAAGGCTGAAGGTTACCCCACTGCATAGACAGACACACGTATTTATTCCTTCATCCATCAGTGGGCTGTGGGCTGGTTTCCACCTTTGGCTATTGTGTTAATGCTGCAGTGAACACAGGTGCACAAGTATCTGCTAGAGTTCTATTTGAAATTGTTCTGTTTGTACCTGGGAGTGTGTAAATAGTTTTACATGTCTGTTTGCCAGATGTTGCATTCGCTTTACAAGAGTACAATAGTTGTGGCAGAAACCGGAAGTTTCTCCAAGCTGAAAGATCCCCTCTGGTCCTTTGTAGGCAAAGGAAGCTGAGCTCTGCTAGAACAATACACACTCTCTTTGATGGGTCCATTGGAGACGCCCTTCTCTTGGTTGCTGTATTTCACCCAGCCTAATTTTTACCTGGCACTCAGGACCCACCAGGCAATCACCCCGACACACTCCAGCTGCAGCAAGCTGCTTAGGCCCTGCACATGCATGTGCTTGTCCAGTACTCATGAGATCCTGCCCCTCAGGTCTCTTAAAACCTAGAGCAAGTATCATCTACACTAGGGAAGCTACATGTATAATAGTTTCCTTGGGCTGCCTGGGAAGTCATCGCAAAGTTGGAGGCTTAAA